CATTGCTTGCTATAAATTCTTCATTCACTTATGATGATGATGATTACATTTACTGTTGAATTCAGAAGTGAAACACATTTCTCTCTACTTCTTGCTTTCCCATTGTCCCTTGTGGAGAATACATTGATTGGTGAGCAAGCTTTTAAGAGGTGCAGAGTCAGGGCCTATATTAGTAATACAGTTCTACATGGCATCCTTTGCGAAAACATAAAATCAGTAAGGGTGCACCTACACAGCAGGGCTTAACTCGAAATAAGCTATGCAAATTGAGCTATATCAATTGAGTGGCTTATTTCAAAATAGCTTATTTCAAAATTGGGAGCATGTACACAGCACTTATTTAGAAATAGAGTGCTCTTCCCCTGACTTCTCTTACTCCTCATACAATGAGGTTTACAGGAGTCAGAGTATGAAGTCCTCCAGCTTGACAATATTTCATCATTATTTTGAAATAACTCCCTGCTGTGTAGACGTGCACTAAGTTATTTCAAAATAACACTAGTTATTTTGAAATAATGTTTCTGTGTAGACGTACCCTAAGTTAAACCAATCTATTTCTGTTCTTGAATGCAAGCCTTCTAGTTCGGGAGCATGATGGTCACGTGGAATGAGATAACACAGTTGTTTTATTTTTATTTTTTGCATTTTGCAATTAAGGAACATATATTGATTTTCATAATATATTAAAAGGGTCAGCAGAATCTCCAAATACTGAAAGACATTCTTTTAAAATGCCCACAGACATTACTTGTGCAAGAATACAAGCACTATCACCCCAATAAAATAAATGCTTGAGAAAAAAGATGAATCTTACAGCAGGCAGTAAAGTCTGGCAGACTTGGGATCTAGTAGATAAATGTGGGAAGTGAGCTTCAAAACAATAGAACTACAGAGATCTGAAGAAAACTGAACAGGCTCTATGAACTAAAATCACTGATTATAATAAATACTATAAAATGTAGCAGAGAAGCTAAAGTTCATAGACTCATAGAAATGTAGGGCTGGAAGGGACCTGTGGAGGTTATCAAGACTAGCTTACTATGCTCAAGTAAACATAGCTTATACTTGACAGGTGTTTGTTCTATTTATTCTTAAAATTTTCCAAATTTTCTAACCTCCCTTGCCTCTGCTAGAGGTTAACTAACCTTACTGTTAGAAAGTTCTAATTCCTAACCTAAATATTCCTCGCTATATATTAAACCCAATACTTCTTGTCATGCTAGAGGTTAACTAACCTTACTATTAGAAAGTTCTAATTCCAAACCTAAATATTCCTCTCTATATATTAAACCCAATACTTCTTGTCCTCCCCTCAGTGGACATGGAGTATAATTTATCACAGTCCTGTTTATAACAGCTCTTAATATATTTTAAGGTTACTATCAGGTTCTTTCCTCAAGTCCAACGTGCCCAGTTGTTTTAACCTACCCTCATAGGTTAGGTATTATCATTTTTGTTGATCTCTGGGCTGTCTCCAGAACTGAACACAATGCTCCAGCTAAGACCTCAGTGGAAAGTATACCAGGTAAGTATACCTCCTCTGCCTTACGTACAACACATTGATAATAAACCCCAGCATAATATTAGTTTTTTTCATAATTGCTTCACATTGCTGACTCATATTCAATTTGTCACCCATTATAATTTCCAGAACCCTTTCAGCAGTAATATCACTGAGCCATTTTGTATATTTTTCCTTCTTAAATGAAGTACTTTGCACTTACTTTCATCTTATAGAATTCAGAAAAATTCTCCAATTAGTCAAAGCTGTTTTGAATTCTAACCTTTCCTCCAAAGTTCTTGCAACTCACCTCCTCTCCTCTCCCCCCCCCGCCCCAAGTCTGGTGTCATCCTAATATGTTACAAGCATACAGTTTTACAAATCATTAAAGAGAGAAGTTTCAGTAATAAAGCAAATGTCAGTTTTGTAACCTTTTGAGCTCTCTAACCTTCCATTATGTGTGAAAGAGATCAGAAAGATTCTTGTGATTCACCATGATCACACTTAGGAGTAATTAGAATACAGGTTGTGTTAGAAAGAAAATATGATGAATGATTGAAAGTTTGTACTAGGAGAAGCTTTGTATTGGAAGTAAAATTATACCTTTTGTATGGACAATTGTATCCCTTTTTCTGATATGTGAAACAATTGTGTAGTTCCTGGGGAGGGGGAGTGAATGAGTTTGAAACTGCTGGGCCTACAAGTTGTTATCTCTCCAAACAACCACATTCCAGAGTCCAGATGGTGGCAGATGGGGGAGAAGAAGCAGGAAGACTCAGGGGTGCCAAGCTGCCATCAATTGGGACCAATATAAGACAGACTTGTGCAGGACATTATAGACAGAGTGTTAAGGGCAAGGATCCCTTTACAAACAAGACAACCTTGAAATAACACTGGGAAGGAAGCACCAACATACTTATGTCAGAGTAAAGAATAACTGACAGATAAACAGATGCTAAACAGAATGGATGGTAATTGATTAAAAACTGATGTAGCAAAATGTATAGACCTGATTGTTAAAAAAGTCTTATAAAAGATGGGGTGCCTTGCATTAATCTCTGGGTCTCATCTTGTCAAGATTGGAGCATCGGTCTGGACTGAGAGAAGCCCCTACTTCTCCCCTCGCATTTGACTCCCCCGAACATTGATTTAATGTGAGCAACAGACTGTTAACTTTAAACAAAAGCAAGATGGGGTTTGTTAGTTTGTTTGTATATAAGTGTATGGATGTCTGTGTGATCAGGTTCAATCGCTTTTCCATTTACTTCAACAGTGGCATTTAATAAAAACAATGTAAGTATAACCTGGGTTGGTCGTAAGTGAAAATAAGGCAACAGTAACAGAACCAGAAATGACCCTATATGACTCCATAGGATGCACCTCTACCAGTTTGACAATGAACCATTTATATCTACTCTTTGAATATAGTTTTCCAACTGATGCCTCTGCCTAAAAGTAATTTTATCTAGACTAAATTTCCCTAATATGTTTATGAGAATGGCATGTAGGACTGTGTTGAAAGCCTTACTAAAATCAAAATATAACTATTCTACTGCTTCTCCCTTGTCAAAGAAGGAAATTAGGTGGGTTTGGCATGGTTTGTTCTCAACAAATCCATGCCAACTCTTCCTTATAACCCAACTATACTCTAGTTTATAAACTGATTGTTTAATGAATTGTTCCTTTATTTTTCCAGGTATCTAAGTTAGTCTAATTGAGCTGTAATTCTCTGGATCTTCTTTGTTCCCTCTTTTGAAGATAAGTAGCATATATCCCTTGCTCTAGTCACTTCACCTGTCCTCCATGAGTTCTTAAAGATAATTCCTACCAGTTCTGAGACTGGTTCAGCTAGTTCCTTATATATTCTAGGAATTGTATCAGGTCTTGCCAACTTGAACTCATCTAAATATTCTTTAACTTGTTACTTTCATCCCCCTTGTTGTTCATGTTAATTGTATTGAGTATCTGTCACCATTAACCTTTATGGTGAAGACTGAAACAAAATAGGTATTAATACCACTAGCCTTCTTGACGTCATCAGTTATTAACTTGCCTTCCCAAATAAACCTACAGTTTCCTTTATTTTCTCCTGTTTCTAATGTATTTATAGCACCTCTTTCTATCACCTTTTCTGTCCCTTGCTAGGTGCAGCTAATTTTGTGTTAGCCTTTATGATTTTGTTCCTACATACCTTTGCTGTTCTTTGGTACTTATGCTTAACTATGTGTCCTTGTTTCCACTTTTTATAGGATTTTTTAAAATTTACAGGCCATTAAAGAGCTCCTGATTTAGATATACTAAACTTTTACTATTCTTCCTATCTTTCCTTTGCACCAGAATATTTTCTCCTTGATAAACTTTATTCTCTTAGATTTTTTTCCCCCGGGATCTTACCTACCAGTTCCCTGAGTTTGTTAAAGTCTGCTTCTTTGAAGCCCATCATCCTTATTCAGCTGCTTTCACTCCTTCCCTTACTTAGACTCACATAGTCCATCATTTTATGATCAATTTCACACAAATTGTTTTCTGTCTTCAGATTTGTCACTAATTCTTCCCTGTTGGTCAGAATCAAGTCTAAAACAGCTGTTCCTCTGGTTACTACTTCCGCTTTCTGAAGCAAAAAAAAGTCATCTTTGATACATTCCAAGGATTTACTGGACATTTTGGGTGCATCTACACTGCACCTGTAGCTCAATTAAGCTACTCAATTTGAGCTCCACTAATTCCATAGCTTATTTTGAGTCTATCTCAAAATAGGTTATTTTAAAATTTGTCACTTTCTACACAGCACTAATTTCAAAATAAATTGCTTTTCCAAAATGTCCCTAACTCCTTGTGGAATGAGGTTTACAGGGATGTCAGAATAGTGAGCCCGTTATATTTCAAAATAACAGGTGTGCTCAAAAGATGCAGAATAGCTATTTTAGGATACCTCCGGTATCCTGAAATAGCACTGCTGTGAAGACATAGCCTTTGTGATTTGCCATATTACTTGCCCAGCAGAGCTCTGAATAATTAAATTCTCCCATGTCTGTGAGGTCTTGTGTTTTGAATATTTCCGTATTAATTTCAGAAATTCCTCATCCACCTCTTGTCCCTGATTTGGTGGTCAATAGTAGATCTCCTACCAATACATCATATCTATTTCCCCCTTTTATCTTTACTCAGAGACTTTCAACTGGTCACCTCTTTCTGGACCTCAGATCCAATGTATGTATTCTTGATGGACAATACACCACCATCTACTTTTTTTCTCCTGCCTATTCTGCCTGACGAAGCTGTATCCCTTTATGCCAATAAAGATTTATCCTACATAATCTCTGTGATGCATATTCAGTCATAATTAATATATATACTAATACTTCCTGTTTATTCTCCATACATCTTGCACTGGTGTATGGACATCAAAATTATATTGCCTTGTTTTGTTTGTTCCCCATTTGGCTTTATGATAAAGTCCTGACATAAAGGAGAACTAGGAACAGATGTCACTGTTTACCTCATAGTCCAGGTCCAGGTAATCAAATTCCCCATTGGTTCTGAAATGTTGCATATGCCTGTCCAATGTTAGATTGATGTTCCTTCCATGACGTTCTATGACAATGGAATGCCAATGGTGGTCATCCAAGAGGCTTCCTGTCATCACAGATGTGTGGCCATAAATTGAGCCATACTGGTTGCTACCTGTAATGAAGAGGAGATGAAAAGAGCAGCCTCTAATTAACTCACACTTATTTAGGAAACATATTCATCCTGTCGTATCGTATTTCACTTGAAACATACAGCATACACACTACCATTGTGAAGTTAAGATCGGTCCCTTCAATGGCTTTTTCCATAAATATACTTAGCTAGATCACGTACGAAATAGCCAAACAGTGAGGTATATAATTAATTACTTATAACAGAAAATGTTAAGTGGAAAATGATAGTAATATCTACCTCTAGTTAGTTAAAAAAAAAAATTTAAACAGGGATTTGCTGTGTTTGAGCCCTATAGCACAAAGTGAAAAGCTGTCACTTTCACTACACTACTTAGACTTGGGGCCAGATCCCCAGCTTGAATGGAACTACATTGACTTATATCGGGGTATGTGTACATTACAAAGTTAATTTGAACTAATAGCCATTAGTTCGAATTAACTTTGATAGGCGCTACACAGGCAAACCGCTAGTTCGAACTTAATTCGAACTAGCGGAGTGCTTAATTCGAAGGGCTGTGTAGCCACTTAATTCGAACTAGTGGGAGGCTAGCCCTTCCCAGCTTGCCTTGGTGGCCACTCTGGGCACAACCAGGGAAACGCGTCGGCCCCCCTTCCAGCCCCGGAGCCCTTAAAGGGGCACGGTCTGGCTACGGTACCCGTGCCAGGTGCAAGCCTGCCAGCACCCACC